GATATGTGTCTCACTCAAGATTTCAAACCCAATCATTTGTCACTGACTTGCCTATTTTGGAGAAAAGAAGGTGCATTGTGTTCCGTATGACTCCCATTCTCTTTACTCAGTTAGGGGTTCATTGAATTAATGTCACATTCTGAGTTGAATGACAACTATGGTCAGTCATCCTGGAAGACAGAGGAAATACTGCAGGGTATCAGGACCCTGACCACTGAGAGGGCCACACCACGTTGCCCATCATTCACAGCTACAGTTGCAAGAAAGTGTGTGAACCCCTTGGGATTACGTGGAGTTTTGCATGAATTGGGCATAAAATGTGCTCTGAACATCATCTAAGTCACAACAATAGAAGAAAACAGTCTGCTGAACATAATACTACACAAACATTAGATGTTGCCATGGTTTAATTGCACATAACATATAAACATTCACAGTGCAGGGAGGAAAAAGTATGTAAGGCCCTAGCTTATGACTTCTCCCAGAGCTAATTGGAGCCAGGAGTGAGCCAACCTTGACTCCAATCAGTGTGATGATATTGGATGTGTTGCTGACAGCTGTCCTGCCCTTAAAAAACACACACCTGTTTTGGGTTTACTGGTTTCAAGAAGCACTGTCTGATGTGAACCATGCCTCGCAAAAAGGAGCTCTCAGAAGACCTACGATCAAGAATTGTTGACTTGCATGAAGCTGGAAAGGGTTACAAAAGTATCTCCAAAAGCCTTGATGTTCATGTGTCCATGGTAAGACAGACTGTCTACAAATGGAGAAAGTTTAGCACTGTTGCTACTCTCCCTAGGCTTGGTCGTCCTGTAAAAATGACTGCAAGAGCACAGCGCAGAATGCTGCAAGAGGTAAAGAAGAATCCCAGAGTGTCAGCTAAAGACCTACAGAAATCTCTGGCACATGCTAACATTTTTGTTGACACATCTACAATAAGGAAAACATTAAACAAGAATGGAGTACATGGGAGGACACCACGGAGGAAGCCATTGCTGTCCAAAAAGAATATTGCAGCACGTTTGAAGTTTGCAAAAGAGCACCTGGATGTTCCACAGCTCTACTGGCAAAATATACTGTGGGCAGATGAAACCAAGATTGAGTTGTTTGGGAAGAACACACAACACTATGTGTGGAGAAAAAAAGACACAGCACACCAACATCAAAACCTCATCCCCACTGTAAAACATGGCGGAGGGAGCATCATGGTTTGGGGCTGCTTTGCTGCCTCAGGGCCTGGACGGATTGTTGTCATTGATGGGAAAATGAATTCCAGAGTTTATCAAGACATTTTGCAGGAAAACGTACGACCATCTGTCCGCCAACTGAAGCTCCGCAGAGGATGGGTGATGCAACAGGACAATGACCCAAAGCATACAAGTAATTCAACAAAACAATGGCTGCAACAGCACAGAATACGCCTTCGGGAGTGGCCCAGTCAGAGTCCTGACCTCAACCCGATTGAAATGCTGTGGCATGACCTTAAGAGAGCGATTCACACCAGACATCCCAAGAATATTGCTACACTGAAACAGTTTTGTGAAGAGGAGTGGTCTAAAATTACTCCAGATCGTTGTGCAGGTCTGATCTGCAACTACAGGAAACATTTGGTTGAGGTTATTGCTGCCAAAGGAGAGTCAACCAGTTATTAAGTCCAAAGGTTCACATACTTTTTCCTCCCTGCACTGTGAATGTTTTACATGTTATGTGCAATTAAACCATGGCAACATCTAATGTTTGTTTAGTATTATGTTCAGCAGACTGTTTTCTTCTATTGTTGTGACTTAGATGACGTTCAGAGCACATTTTATGCCCAATTCATGCAAAACTCCACGTAATCCCAAGGGGTTCACATACTTTTTCTTGCAACTGTATAATGATGCAGAAAGTCACTGATGTCACCAGGTCAACAATGTTTTCTGAATCATTCAGGATCAAAAAGATTGGAAGAAGAGGAGCCTACGCATCATGTGACTGGCTCTGAAGGTCTTTTTAAAAGTAAAACATACAGCATGGGGGTGTTGGGGGGGGGGCACGCTGAATGGGCCTGGGTTTTATCTTTAAATGTTATTGTGACTGCATTAATCATGGTCAAATGTTCAGACTAAAATCCAACCCATGAATGAGGGAGCCCACCAAGAAGCTGTCCCTGTAAGGGCCAATTATCTGCAGCCAGAGCATTCCCCACCCCAAAACCACATGTATACAAGGGACATGTATATGTTTGGCAGCTGGGCAGGAAATGTCTCAGGCACAGATGAGTGGCCCTTACAGGATTACAGAATACTGGCAGGCTTATTCATGTGGGATTAGATCCTTCTCCAAACACACCCAAGCTCACCATTGCTAAGCAGGAAGCCAATGGAAATGTACATCATGAGCTAATATGACTCTGCCTATATACAATTTTTGTTTACTAACCTTCATTCCAAACTCCAAGCTATAGTCATTACTGGGCCACTGACACTCATTGTGAAATGTCTGGGTTTCCAATAGATGTCCATGCAAATGGTGGAAAAACATAAATGTCCTATGTAATCACTGTCTTAAGAGTTGCAATTTTATGTGGGCAGCTTTGTGATTCATTCAGTCCTGCCACACTGCACAGCCAGGAAGATGACCCCAATCTACCAAAATGTGGTCAACAACAGATGACTGCCAAGAGGAAATAATTAATCATTATGCATGTGTGAGGTCTGAGCAGTCTCTGTTCTTTAATGTGATAAACACACACAGACACACACACATACATATTTACTCTGATCATGTTTTATATTGAACATATCGTTCCCCTTCCCCCCACCATTGCCATCTGTATTTAGGAAAACTGTACCATCTTGACCATTGAAGAAAACCATTTTGGACAACTGGTTAGCCATCAAAGGTCACAGACCATCTACACACATACAGTATATTTATTTATTGCTAATACCTACAGTATTTAGCACCATCAATGTATGCAGAGCTTTACATTTCTACAGTATATTGTACATTCACATCAGTCCCTGCCCTCAAAGATCTTACAATCTAAGGGACCCTAACTCACATTCATATATATAATAAGATCATTTTAGACAGGAGCTGATTAACCTACCAGCGTGTCTTTGGATTGTGGGAGGAAACCAGAGGATCTCGAGGAAACCCACGAGGCACAGGGAGAACATGCAAAATCCATGCAGGTAGTGCCATGGTTGGGATTTGAACTGATGACCCTAGTGCTGCCAGGAAGGACTAGCCACTTAGCCACTACCCATATGTATATATACTGTATGTACAGTATATAGTGAGAAATAGAGAGGGAGAGAGACACAGTTTTCCTTTGATTCAACCCGCTACTATCTGAGGGTATATTGCACAGCTCTTTACAAATTTCAGTCTTGGAGTTGCTTTTGCTATCAATATGTCACATACTGTGTAGATCACACATTCCCAAATGTCCATAGATTGTGTGAAATCCCTCTAGTGTACACAATGCAGCTTGTTACCATCTGTTTCCTGCACCCCAAACCCCCAGTACTTCCTATTAATGGAAGGCAGCCAGTGGTTCCCGCTGCTTTATGCAATTACAGATACAATACCTAGAGATCTGTTTCCAGCTTTTGTCTGCTGTATCAGTGGTGGGTAAATCAGAGACAGAACACCGCAGAGCTATACTGCTCACTAATAAAGGCAAGCGCAAAAGTCCTTTCACACCATTATAAAAGCCATTGCCTATTAAATGTCCCCGTTCTTTGTCAGTTTCCTTCTTCTATTAGTGCATCACTTTTAGGGCTTGCTTACACAGTGCCCTCTGAAGAGCAATCTGTAGAGGACATTTGACAGGCGGTTTTGACTCATTTGTTTGAGGATTGGATACATTCAAAGGTGATTTACAGGTTAAGTAAATTAAAAAGAAATAAAAACCCTCTAAGGTGCTACAAGCTAATTTTTTTCAGGTTCTCTTTTCCCATACTCTTCATTGGAATGTTTCCCTTGGGGGATTTCACCTTTAATCCCATCTTCTATAAAATCTTGATTTTCAGACACCGTTCTTGCTGCCTCCAGCAGTTAACAGTAAATCATAAGACAAAATGGAAAACACCTTCCTCTCGGAACAAATGAACAAAGACATAATTCTGCAAAAACCAATTGTTTCCAGCCATATCTCTGCCTTCTTCCCCATGGGGACTTCCATCCACAGCATTTACTGAAATTCTAGAGGTTTCTGCTCCTGTCCCATCCTTTCCTGACAAATGAACTGAGTAATAAAGGTGATTACTAAGTATAGTAGGGATGGTATGGCTTTGTGTCAATGAAGAGCCAAAAGCTGGATTTAGAGACTAACTCCAAGTTTTTGTGTTACTTTTAATAGTTTATTTGGGTCAAGCTGAACCAAAGAACTATGTAAAGTAACATAAAATCTGGAGTTATGCTTTAAAGTGTATACACTCACCGGCCTCTTTATTAGGTACACCTGTTTAATTGCTTGGTAACACAAATTGCTAATCAGCCAATCACATGGCAGCAACTCAATGCATTAACCTCCTCTGGCGGTATGATTATTTCTGATTTTTGGTGCTGAAAGCAGTACCATTTTTTTGCATGGAAATATGTAGTTTTTTATTGTAGGCTGTAATTTTTAGGAATAAGTCACTGACATCTGTCCGAACAACAGTCTAGTAAACATCCCGGATATGATAAAATTTGAAACACGAAATCATAAATCATAATTTAATTAATAATCATAAAAAAAATAATAATATAATAATAATACATTTAATTCAATAATATAATCAAACCAAAAACACTGAAATTTGAAATACAGAGGAAAATTCACACATTGCTGAGCAAAGTTGCAAAAATCATTTTCAGTGTCTGATGACGAATTTCCCCCACGAATCATTATCACTCAATTCTGCAAGTGGTTCTGATTTACTATCGCTGTTCTCTAGCCGGTCTAAAACCGATTTTGACCTAAAGGAACGCTTTTTGGACGCCATGGACTTTTCTAAGTTTCCAGGCAGAAAGAACAGATCTAAAATGCAGGCAGGGCGCCGGACAAAGCACTAGGGACAAAATATATGTGAAATGCATTGAAACAGCAATGTTTTACTATATATAATAACCATTTTTTTAAAAAATGAAATTTTTTTAAAAATTTCAAATTTGCCACCGGTTCCGGCGCCCGTAACGTCCCAACGTCACAGGGACCGGAACACGGAAGCCGGATGTCGGCATCGGCCGGAGGAGATGGCCGGGGACGCTGCAGGGGACACATTGCGGGAGCGAAGGACAAGGTAAGCACAGCAGGGACTCCCTATGCAGCGCCACATGGTAAGCCCGAGTGTAGCTCAGGGTTACCGCTCTTGGTACTGAAATTTTACCCTGAGCTACACTCGGGAATACCGAAAGGCATGTAGACGTGGTGAAGACGGCTTGCCGAAGTTCAAACTGAGAATCAGAATGGGGAAGAAAAGGGATTTAAGTGACTTTGGCATGGTTGTTAGTTCCAGACAGACTGGTCTGAGGATTTAAAAAATTGCTGATCCACTGGGATTTTCACACACAACCATCTCTATGGTTTACAGAAAATGGTCCAAAAAATAGAAAATATCAAGTGAGTGGCCGTTGTGTGGACAAAAATGCTTTATTGATGTCAGAGGAGAATGGGCAGACTGGTTTGAGATGATAGAAAAGCAACAGTAACTCATTTCAATGTGGACCAAAATCTCTGAATAATGTTTCCAACACCTTGAAGAATTTAAGGCAGTTCTAAAGGCAAAAGGGGGTCCCAACCCGGTACTAGCAAGGTGTACCTAATAAAGTGGCTGATGAGTGTATATATATCCCAAACCTTTTTCTCTAGTTTTGGATAGAGTAGGGAAGGGTTAACCTGGCCACACACTTATACTGTTGTACAAAAATTCTCATCAGTACATTTGAAGACTTGATGAATGTTGTTTGAAAGTACTTAAAAAAACATTGCTTTTAATGTTCAATTTTGGAGTGAATGGACTTTTGTAAACGAAAACACGCACACTGTATGTTTTCCTTCGAATTACTCATCACTGCAGTCAAAAATGAATGCCAGGGATGCCAAAACATCCCTGACTCATCGAGGTATGGTCTTCACCAGACCTGTGTTGGTATGCTGTGGTATCTGGCACCAAGCCTTCAGTAGCAGATTCTTCAAGCCCTGTACATTGTGAAGTGGGGCCTCCATGGATCGGACTTGTTTTTCCAGCACATCCCACAGATGCTCTATTAGATTGAGATATGGAGAATTTGAAGGCCAAATCAATACCTCAAACTCATTGTTGTGTGTTCCTCAAACCATTTTTGAACCTTTTTTGCAGTGTGGCAGGGCCAGGGGCGGACTGACAACTCCTGGGGCCCCTGGGCAATAGGGGATCATGGGGCCCCTGTGTCCTTGCCCAAACTCAAAAAAGCCTATGAAAAAAGTACCAGGGGCATCTCATGGGGCCCCCTACTGACCCCAGGCCCTCGAGCAGTGTCCGAGTTTCCAAATGGTCAGTCCGCCCTTGGGCAGGGCACATTATCCTACTAAAAAAGGCCACTGCCATCAGGGCATACCGTTTCCATGAAGGGGTGTACTTGGTCACCAACTATGGTAGTTGGTAAGTGTCAAACAACATTCACATGACCCAAAGTTTTCCAGCAGAATATTGTCCAAAGCATCACACTGCCTCCGCCGGCTTGCCTTCTTCCCATATTGCATCCTGATACCATCTCTTCTCTTGGTAAGTGACACACACACCATCCACATTATGTAAATAAAAAAGTGATTCTTCAGACCAGGCCACCTTTCTTCCTTTGCTCCGTGGTCCATTTTTGATGCTCATGTGCCCATCGTAGACACTTTCTGGCTGTGGACATGGGTCAGCATGGGCACCCTGACCAGTCTGCGGCTACACAGTCCCATATACAACAAACTGTGATGCCCATCTTTTCTGCTTTAAACACATAAGGGTTGATTTACTAAAACTGGAGAATGAAAAATCAGGTACAGCTGTGCATAATAGCCATTCAGCTTGTTCAATTAAGCTTTGACAATAAAACCTGGACGCTGATTGGTTACTAAGCAGAACTGCACCAGATTTTGCACTCTCCAGTGTTAGTAAATTACTTCAGGAACAACATGTTTATTTGCTGCGTAACCGACTGCATATCCCACTGACTTTCAAATGCCATTGACTATCTCCACTAACCTAATATAGCCTCATGACCGTGTCTGAACAGCATTATTGACCAAATATTGCCATGTGGCCATATTAGCTCAATGATGTCACAAGCATCCCTGCCTCTTTGGTACATGTGGCTGCAGGGCAGGGAATTCCATGACAGCAGTTGATTGCACCTCCTATCTTGTGACAGTTCCAGCAGGTTTGGGCCCAACTGAATTCGGCCCAAATCTTAATAGCATTATCCAGGTATGCTCATGAGGTCAGATTAGGTCAATGATGTCTCCAGAATTTTATCCACATGTGTTACATGTGGTTGTGTGGTGGGGAATTTCATGACTGAAGCTTATTCTGTTTCAATATTTTTATTAAGAAAGTTTTGTTTTTAAGAATATAACAAGCTCAAAATAGTCAAATAATGAAATGTCCAATGACATCAAGAAGGGACGGCAAAAAGCCAAACCAAATAATGGTAATAATTCAACATAATATAGGAAAAAAAGAGAAAAGAAAAAAGGTTAGAAGAAAAGAAAAAGAAAATAAAACAAAAGGTTATCAGAAAGAAACTATGAAAGAAGGGAAACTAGAGGGATCACGGATGACTGAAGCTTATTAAACCAGTGGCTTACAATCATGTGACATTTTCCCACAGATTCAGGCCAAACCAAGGTTGGCCTGAACCTTGACTCATCCCTACTTACCAACAATCCAATGACTATGTTTCTAGAAAAAGAAAGAGTTGTCACCTGAACACCAAGTGAGGCGAAATCTTCCAAAGAAGACAATTTTTATGCCAATAACTGTTTAGGAAGGGATTTCCCCTAACTTTGGAGAGATTTCCTATCCCCTTCTGTTTTGTCTCTGGGACAGAAATTAAGGTAAAACTCCCCAACAGGACACAGACTGAAAATAAAAAAAAGCAGGAGATTTAAAGGATTAGACGACTTTTGGGAACATTTTTCCATGACCTTATTTAGGGTGTAACATGAAGCCTGATCACATTTCCAATTCAACCCTCTCAACCCTTTCCCCACTTACCTGAATTGTGGGATGCTTCTCCCCGGAGTGCCCTGTTGTTGTTTGAATTTAGTGGCACTGTGCATGGCTCTGCCCTGGGAATGGGAAGACTACAAATCCCATCTGCCGCCACAAGAGGGGGACCTCCTCCAGCCCCATAACAGAAGGTTATACAGAACTGGGGCTGGAATGTACACAGTGAAGGAGTCTGTGCATTGCACCCACAACACAGTGCCGTTGCAATGCTCTGCAGGCCTTGATGCAAAAATTAATAAAAAGCATATTCTTTTTTGTATGAATGCGGGAAGTGGAAGTAAAGTTCACTTTTCAAGGCTTACTTGTAGGCAGGGGCGGACTAACCATTTGGAAACTCGGGCACTGCCCGAGAGCCCGGGGTCAGTAGGGGGCCCCCGTGAGATGCCCCTGGTACCTTTTTCATAGGCTTTTTTGAGTTTGGGCAAGGACGCAGGGGCCCCATGATCCCCTATTGCCCAGGGGCCCCATGAGTTGTCAGTCTGCCCCTGCTTGTAGGTACAGTAAATTTCTCCAAAACTTGCATAGTTTAGGAGATATTCACACAGCATGCAGTCAGTGATGTCACTGATGCATGTTGGGACAGCATACTTGTGCCATACCTTCACCACAGGGCTAGGGCTCCTGTGTGCATACACGGGAGTGACGTCATCGCGGCCCCAACCATTCATACAGCCAGAATCTGCGAACCCAGAAGGAAGACCTGGTGACCTGTGCTACCGCTGAAGAGCTCCATGTCCAGGTAAGTCTGTCATAATGTGTTAGTATGTGGTACATACTAGTACATTATGACTTAAAGCTACAGGGGCCTGGTTTTTTTTTTTTTTTTTTTTTTTTTTTAGTGGTTTACTACTAACTATTTAAATATTACCTAATATGTCCAAAATAAAAAAAAGGAGTTGGCTTTAGATATACTTTAAACTGCAGTGTAGTGAACCAGTCAGGCAGCGGACAGCTTATTTTCTCCTAGATGAAGCAGACCAACATTCCACATTAAAGCGTGGAACTCTTCAGCTGATAATTGCATAGCAGAACTGGAGGATGATCCTGAGAAAAGAAACTTTTCATCTGTCATTGAAGAATGCGTGCCCTGCAGTTGCCATGCAGATATTACCATAGTGAAAATATTGCTAAAAAGCCAAGTGTATACCAAACCCATCTTTGGGTGAGCTTTTTCATGGTAATAATACTTTCACTGACAGGAATGCTACTGTCACCTCATGTGACTGGGACAATGAAGGCAGCAATTGTACCAGTGAGCTAACATGCTGTATCTGGTGTCCCAGGACTGGCCATCTGAACTAGGCCAAAATAAGAAGTGTTCACTACCATGAATGCACACTCGTTCTTCTTGTTTCTACATGCAGTCATTCCCAAGGCAGAGCTAGCAGCATGACACCAATGATCTTTTCATCTTCCTATAAGAGGGTGGAATTCTAGACACCAATGCAAGAGGAGCATTCTTCTACTGGCCATCAAATAAGAGAAACATTCTTTTACTGGATACCAATGAAAGAGACACATCCTTCTATTAGACACCAATGTAAAAGGAGCATTCTTCTACTGAACACTGACATAGAAAAAGCATTATTTTGCTGGTCACCAATATAAGGGGAGTATTCTTCTACTGGCCCCAAAAATAAGAGAAGCATTCTACTACTGGACACCTATGTATAGGGCACATTCTCCCGTTGGCCACCAAAGTAAAGGGAGTCTTCTTTCATTTGCCATCAATGTAAGGTGATAATTCTACTACTAGCCACCAGTGCAAAGGGTATTCTTCTACTGGCCACTATTGTAAGAGAAGCATTCTTCTACTGGACACCAGTAGAAGGGGAGCATTCTTTTACTGGCCTCAAATGTAAGGGGAGCATATGCTAGTGACCACCAATGTTAGGAGAACATCCTTCTACTAGCCACCAGTGTAAAAGGAACATTCTACTACTGAACACTGATGTAGGAGAAGCATCCTTCTACTGGCCACCAATGTAAGAGGAACATTCTTCTACTGGACACTGATGTAGGAGAAGCATTATTTTGTTGGTCACCAATGTAAGGGGAGCATCCTTCTACTGGCCATCAATGTAAGAGGAGCATTCTTCTACTGGCCACCAAAGTAAGGGGAGC